TAGATTTTCAGTACAAATCGGCAATTTCATACTTTAACCCCTATTACACAATGTACTATTATAAAACAACTGGAATTTTAACAGTCTCTTTAATGTTTAGTTAAAATTATGATACGAGAAGAATTTATTATTATTAGTTCATTTTACGGGTACGGTGACGTATGAGATTTGAAGTTTCTTTAGATTTAGTGATGTAAAATGAAATAAAAAAATCGATTTAAATATCTTATCGAGATAATGTATAATGAAGAGAGACTACAGTTTAAGAACAAATAATAAAGATAACAAAAAGAATTCAATTATTATGTTTATAAAAAACTACACAACAAATTAATAAAATCAACAACAACTCAACGAAATTTGAACAATGACTCTAAAAACATCATTCAAAACTGAAAACAAAAGTAAACGACCCGCATACAAGGACATTGTAATACAATTTACACACGTATTGATGCGAGATACACAATAACCGATTCGATTTATCGATTCTATGGTGTAAATCTCTATGGACAAATATTCCATTTTACGCATCAAATAGTTGTCATTTTTAAGACATGTTGACTTAGAAAATTAAAAAATTCGCTCACTAGGCTAGTCAGGTTCTCTACCTCCAATTAGGTAATATATAAAGGCTATTCTGCCCTCGTAACGAAAAAAGGAACAACTATGCGTACTTTATACAGCAGTTATGCCTTTTTTCATTCCGAGGGCAGTATTTAGATAAATATATAGAAGCTAGCAATTTTTTACGATCTCGGTGACCCGGGTTCGATTGCCGGCAGGACCAATTTGGGAAATGAACTTTTCTGAATTGGTTCTAGTCTGGGTGTTCTGGGTAGTACCCCGAAGTGAATTCCGTTGTTTGGACTCATGGTACGTGTGGTTGTTTAGCACGTTTGGTACATTTTTCACAGATTGAACGCAACAGAGTTTTAGAAGAGGCGTTAGCAGCTTTAGCAAGAACGCATCACGCCCTTGAAATGTCCGTCGCTGAAGAACTTACTAAGGTAATATTTTTAAGTGTTTGTAGCTTGAATATTTGGATACTGCTCCTATTACCAGTAGATTCCCTTGTGAAAGAGTTGGTCCTGGGAAGTAACTGCCACCATATGCCACCTGCCACCGATTTCTACTGCTAAGCAGTAATGCGAGCATATGAGTTACATTCGTAATGGAAGTGTTTTTCTGTAACCACAGCGTAATGACATCTATGTCAATTATACAAACTAGATTCGAGCCAAAAAAATAGGTTGCGTCGCTTTCGGAGAAAGATGGATGGATGGCTAGATGAATGGCTGGATAGATGGATGGATGGATAGATGGATGGACGGATGGACGGATGGACGGACGGACGGACGGACGGACGGACGGACGGGTGGGTAAAACGTTTATTCAGCACAAATACCAGAATAAATAAATATTTACGATCACTTCACAGGGTATAATGCAAAAGCACCTGGAACATAAATCAGTACACAATGATATGAACACATATTTGTAGAAAAAAACAAATTTTATACTGAATGTACCTATTTGCGACAATTTATACTGAAATGGCCCTGACTCAGCATGAATACTGTAGACCGTAAAGACAAATAGCGCTGGTTTTCTGCCAGGACCATATGGTCAACAATCACATAATAATAATAATAATAATGCACACACTCAACATAGCCCCGCACTAGGGAAACCCTGTGTCGCGGGTGCCATGGACACATACATAGACAAACACAAATTACACCCAAACTCACGAGAGAAATAAATGTAGGCCATACAAATATTTCTCCCGGCCCCGGAATCGAACCTAGGACCTCTGCGCGGCAGTACCGTTCGGCCACGGAGGCAGTTTCATCCCGGTAATTAAAAAATAGTTCGAAATACAACTAAGATGGAAATAAAATAGGATCTTTTTTCTTAAATTTACGCAAGTTCTCAAAATAAAATATACATAAATTCTCGCTGATGCGGCTACATGGTTAGTGACAACGAACGTTGAACTTTTTTTTATAATATCAAGTGACAGACGAACAAATCGTGTGCCTGATGGTAAGCGACATAGCAAAGATCTGACGGGCACTGCCCTGTCACCCTGAGACATAAGCTAACAAGTCCCATGTGCCTGTAATTTCACCATAATTATTTTCAACAATTTATTTATTTAATATGGTACGACCATAGATACGTAAGTCAATTTTAAAATAACATTATCAGCACAACCCTTTGCGATCTCTGTCTGACTAACACATTCAGGGTTCACTAATAACATTTCCGTTTCAATTTTATTTTGTTTCAGAGCAAACGAAAGAAGAAATCGTCGTCAAAGTCATCGGTAAACGAGTCCAAAGAGAATTTCTTCGACGTATATGAAGGTAGTAAATTATTGCAATAAATCCATTTAATGCAATACAATGCCAGCATTTTATATGTCGGCTTGTTTACCTCTGACAGTGACACATACGATAGTGACATCGTTGACAACAAAAAAAAAAGGAACCGATTTCAAATTTTGCTTATATACAGGGTGTAACAGCAAGGTGTAGTCATATTTGAAGGTCGGATTTAGTTAATGGTATGAAACTATTTAGCAAAGTTGTTTTAGTACAAACTACGTTATTTATGGAAATTTCGCCATGAACAGTTTCGATCAGCTGATGTCATTTAACGAAAATAAATAGTCACATCACATCTCTATTGAGTATCATAATACAACCAAATTACGTAACTTGAAAAAATTGTGAAATTCAGGCATGTTATTGTAAATGATAAAGTACTTAATGCCATATTCTTATTACTATGTTATAATTTACTAAATTTATTATTATTTTATTCATGTAATATGCGTGTGAACATTTAATGAAAAATAAATATTATCGATTACTTTGCCAAAATACACTAGTTCATAATAAAACTATTATTTAAAACTTAGTACATAATAACGTAATATGGTTTCGTTAACTTCATATCTTCAAACATGCAAAATACACAAATTTCCATTTAATATCCATTAATAAAACTAATGTCCTCTAAAAAACACATATTTAAAGTTATCTCTGTTTCTTTTTACCATACGCATTCATCTATTGTATTTTAATGAATGAAATTTGTCTCTTTCTATCCGTCGGTACTGTTCTAACGCATGGCGGCGTCGGTATGTTTCTTCTAACGCATGACGCAATATGACGCAATTATCCGACTAATACTTCGCACCCTTACAATGAAAGCGACCCAAATCAAAAAATTAAAAAATGAGTTTATACCGTAAAACCATCTTAAAAAAATATTTTGTTACATTAGTCACACTGTGGTGAAGATGAAATTGTGCAATTAAAGCTCGAATAGCACTGATTCATAAAGGTCCCTTTCATTTTGTTCTTTCAGTTTAAAAATTCTACTCCCGCGTCGAAATATTAACGCCGCATTTATTGTTGAATCTGCATTTGCAAAGACAACACGCTGCCACTGACGGATTAGCATTTGAGCCATTTTCGTTCCGAAAATCATATTCAAAAATCACTAGTAGCAGTAGAGCTCCTTGTGAGTTCGTCCAGGGTAGTACTGCCACATTACCGTGTTACAGTTTTGAAGGGTAAGGGTGCTGGTGAAATTACAGGCACATGGGACTTGTCAACTATGTCTCAGAGAGATGGACGCCGTAGCAGTAGCCTTCGAGCGGCAGTGCTACTGTTATGGACAGGCGTGACGCTTTCCACCGGGTACACGACTTGTTCGACCCGTCGCTTAATATTTAAAAAAAAAATTTTTTTAGTAACTTACTTTTTAAAGGGACTTACTTTTTTGTTTCGTGGACTTTCTTCTTTTTTAATTGTGAAACAGGGACCACAAAACAATATCAAGGGTTATGACATCTTGCTTAGCTGATGAACATTAAAAAGACTTAATTCTTAATACGTTAAATGATAACAAAAAATCGTTAAAAAAAAGACCTATTGGCGACTAGTTTTTGTAAATTATGTTTTTAAATTGTTGAACATTAAAATGATCAGAAACAATTTTCAGTTGTAAAGTTCCATTTTTCCTCATTATTTTCAAAGACTAATAAGGCCATCACCTTTAGTACTTCAAGAGTAGGTAATAAATAAAATAATATGAAAATATGAAAAAACTTGAAATCTTATTTTCTTTTTTATTCCCAAAAAGTTGAAATTTTGTATTGGGACACTTTCATCGTAAAGGTGCAACCTGAAGGTCGGTAAACGTCAAGAAATTAGTTTTGATCGTTGACCACGAATTAATTATTGTAATTTTAATTTTTTTTTTATGATTGATTTAGTGTCTGTTTAAGTATATCTAAATGTTTTAAAATGAATGTTGAGCACAGTAATAATTGGGCACAGATATGCCTGTTGTATTAATTTTTAAGTGTTTTTATTTTCCTCACTTTCTGTATCTGATGTCTGTACATTGTGCCATAAATAAAAAATAAAAAATAAAAATAAAATAAATTTTCATCACTTGCTTGGAAATGAAAATATCGTGAGAAAACTTGGATTTCGGAGATAATTGCCGAAATCTTCAAAGATGCGAGAATGTCAAGTTTCCAACCAGTACTTACTATGCAAGTGCAGTGGACTAAACCTTGTGCAAAAAATAGTACTTTACTAACTTACATACGTCTATTGCTGAGCGCACGTTTCTAACAACAGGCTTACGCTTAATTTGACTTATCTACACACGACAACTTTCTGGGTATGGGTTTATTACATGGTGAAATTGAAATAATTAATATCCGTTGAACCTATTAAGGTTCTTACTTCCTAATAATATCTACTCATCTAAAGAAATATTTTAGAATAGTTTAAATTAGCAATAGTGTAAAACCATAAAAAATCTTACCTAAATAAACAAAGTATCAAGATTAGTCGCCTTGCGTACGCGATACGTAATCGTAGCGAAGTCGCAAGCCTTTGGCGGCAACTTTGGCGGCAAAAATATCACCTTTGAGTCCTTAGGTTTTCGCGATTGTTACACATAGGAAATGAAACTATTTTTCCGGATTTACCGAAACGTCGGTTTGTTTGAAAAAACAAATATACGCGATTTAAATCCGGAAAAATAGTTTCATTTCCTATATCACCTTTGATTTTCGCCGCCAGCATTTGATTTTATACATGGTGATGTGGATTAGTGGTTAATGTTAGACTCGTTTCGGAGGTCGTGGATTCGATTCTCATAGTTGACTGGCTCTATGGGGTAGTTGTTAGAGTGTTAGGTTTTCTTTGCGGATGTCGTAGATTTGATTCCCATAGTCGACTGCCTCCATAGTCTAGTGGTTAGAGCGTTAGGCTTTCTTTTCGGAAGTCGTGGATTTGATTCCCATAGTCGACTGCCTCTATGGTGTAGTGGTTAGAGTGTTAGGCTTTCGTTTCGGCGGTTGTGGATTTGATTCCCATAGTCGACTGCCTCCATGGTGTAGTGGTTAGTGTTAGGCTTTGTTTTCGGAGGTCGTGGATTTGATTCCTATAGTCGACTGCCTCCATGGTGTAGTGGTTAGAGTGTTAGGCTTTCGTTTCGGAGGTCGTGGATTTGATTCCTATAGTCGACTGCCTCCATGGTGTAGTGGTTAGTGTGTTAGGCTTTCGTTTCGGACGTCGTGAGTTTCCGATGGGTGACTGCCTCCTTAGTGCAGTATATCCGTAATCACTCAGTCAGTTCTTGCATTATGTGGAAGTGGTACGGGTGATGGTCAGAGCTTGTTTACAAACAAAGGCGTATGCAGTGCAACGTTGAAGGTCGTAGACGTAGGATATAGGTATTCGTTTAATGTGTATGTAATGATGTAATTTGTATCAGGAGAAGGGTCTTATTTCAAAAGGATGGTAATAATTTTAATTTCACCCTGTAGGTACATTATGAAAACGTTACCCTATATTACAAAATTTGCGTTTCAGTCGGCGTCCTTTGATGTGCCGCCGCTGAGGCAGAGGTGCTATTTTTTAATTTTTTGTAACAGTCTGTAATTGCCGTTTGCGTTGTGAGGACTAAATAGGTGTCATCGTTTTGTTTGTGTCTTGTTTTTGTGTTTATTTAAACTATGTCACGCTTAAGCAATAGTGATTACTAAGAGATGATGTTGTGCGTAGGCGCAGCCGATGGGAGCTTGCGCCAGCCTCGCCAAATTTATTGGGCAAAGTTTATTGATGGCGTCCCAGAAAATCGACGTCGACCATTTCCTGCTGTGGAATGCTTCAGGAAGATGGTTATGAGACTTCATAATAGTGGATTGTTCCGTGGTTCCAGTTCTGAAGGCCGGCCGAGTTCACGAGACCCAGAATTCGAGGCAGATGTTTTGGAACATTTTCTCGGCAATCCAAAGACAAGTACTCGTCGTGCTGCGGCAGCCTTTGGTGGTGTGAACCATATGAGTGTGTGGCGTGTGCTACGGGATGATGGCCAGCACCCATACCATTTTCAAAGAACGCAGGAGCTGTTACAAGCGGACTATGATCTACGTTTGGCATTTTGCCGCTGGTACCTACCGCGACCAGGTTGGGAGGTCTCCCGACTTCGCTTCGTCGGTACTGTGGACAGACGAGGCGTCATTTACGCGTGCGGGCATTATCAATATGCATAATGAACATTTTTGGACTCATTTGAATCCCCGCGTATCAAGGGAATCAAATTTTCAACAACAGTGGCGGATTAACGTGTGGGCTGGTATAATAGGTTGTGCCGTCATCGGTCTAGTGTTTTTGCCGGCAAGTCTGAATGGGGCCAATTATTTAAGATTCCTAACAGAAGACTTGGATGACGTTCTGATGGCCCTGCCAGTGACACAATACGTGAGACTCGTGATGGAACACGGGATGACTTTCTAGCACGATGGAGCATCCGCACATTTTGCTCGAAATGTACGTTCCCATCTGAACGACCGTCTCCCGCAGTGGATTGGGCGGGGAGGTCCTGTACCCTGGCCAGCGTGGTCCCCAGACTTGACACCGCTCGATTTTTTTTGTGGGGGTCATATAAAAATATTGTTTATGCGGAGTCCTGTGAAAGCGCAGAAGAAATGAGGCAGCGGATCGAAATGGCGTTTAGTCAAATCACTCGGCAGATGCTTCAAAGAGTAGAGCAGTCTCTGTACCGACGCACGGAAATATGCATATTGCATGGAGGTCGGCATTTTGAACCTTACCTGTAAATGTGTGAAATGTGCCAGCAGTGCGTGTAGTGATTGTACTTATTATTCAAAATTATCGTAAACAAGTCAATATTTCGTACATTGTACAACAGTGAATTACAATTCGTAGGAAATTCATTAAAACGTGTATGAATTGCACAGTAGGTAAGTACCAATTAAAAAAGTATCCACTATTGTAAAATTGTCGTAAATAAATGTATTAATACAAAATTATGTAGAATGTGTATACGATGAAGGCGTGCGTAACTACGGGCTTAATAAGTAAATAAATATCCTTTAAATTGTATGTAAATAAGTACGTACCTAGGAATGGCATAAAATAATATTGTTAGAAATAATTCGATTTTTCTAGGTATTTAAAGATTTTGTTACTTAATATTAACGTGTTATCAACATATTCAAATCATGTTTTTACAGTGGCATTTCAATTGTAGTCAGCTGTTCTTTCGCCCCGCTTGCGGCCGCCCAGGTTTCATTAATGAATTTGTGAAGTCGTAGTAACGTAACTAGCAATAGAGTTGTGACGCAGTGGTTGTTTCGGACAATCACTATTTATACAAACATAATTAAAGTTATATCAACATTAAAAGTCACTTATTTTTATTTGATATTTTGCACAGAGGGTCTAGATCAAGTATAGGTTTGGCTCCTTTAATATGACTACACCTTGCGGTTACACCCTGTATACATACAAACAAACGAAAAACTTAACAATCCCGGAACCGGAAACCGGATTAATTCCATACTTTGCCACCCTTAGAGGTGGAATATTTTAAAAATTTTATTTAAAAAAAAAAAATTATCAAAACCGGTTCACAAATTCCTAAGCAATCGCGTAACATGCACACAAAAAAAATACAGTCGAATTGAGAACCTCCGTTTTTTGAAGTCGGTTAAAAAAGATTGTAGCAAACGTTCGACTGTTTTACATTAAAAAAAACCCATTGACTATAAGATATGCGAACGATACGTGTCTTATCGAGCAGCATCGCTTTTTTGCATTTCGGTGCCTTTCTTCATTGACTTACAATTATATTGGACGTCGGGTCTGCGCTAAAAAGTGTCCGAACTTATAGGGCGTTAAAATCGTATACAGAGCGTCATTCACGCTTTAGTCTTCGTTTGTTCGACTGACAGCGAAGCAAGCAAAATTAGACAGCCGTTTTAGCTTTTTCATATTCCTTTACATGTCACTACGTTTAAATAGGTTGACTTGGGACATTTTTTTCGTGGTTTTTGTATTAGACCCGTCGTCCATTTATTTGTAAGTCAATGCCTTTCTTTCTCAAACTCGTATCTTATAAAGAGTGATTATTCAGGCGATCGCAAGACTTTCTATTTTTTTTAAATTTCTTATCAAGGGTGTTAATTTGGATGCGTTACTTTAAGAATAGATAAAAGCCAGTGTGTGAATATGAAGGGAATGTGACGTGAAATCAGTATGCAAAATGTGTATATACAATGCAATTAAGTAACTTTGTGCTTTAAGATACGAGTTTGAGAAAATAAGGCGACAATTTATTATTATTCCTCTCAGGGTCGGAAGACGAGGACGACACGCTCGTGACGGCCGGTCTGTCCAGTCCACTTGGGGCTTTAAGTCCTTGGGGCAGCAGCCCCGATCTTACGAGACGCACACCAATCGGAAGTTTGGATGGTAAGTCAAATAGAATACTGCACAACAAAAACGTAACCCACAAGGTCATAATAATATTGGTTAATTAAAACTACATTTAAGTTGTTAACAACGGAGCGGCAGTAAGTTAGTGAGTGACCGGTTGCTTCTCGATTGCAATAAAAAAGAGATCGATGCTTCAAATCTCTGGCGGCATGTACCTATGAATTTAATTTTCCGTTACGTACTTTTATGAATGTTTAGGGAGCAGGGCCCCGATTCAGAACTTTTCGATATTTTTTACCGAATCGTTCGATTGGATGTCGTTCTCGAATCGAAGGACGCTTTCTGAGCTATTCAGAACATTCGAATGATACGATATCGTTATTCAACAACGTTTACGGAGTTAGTCGGCGAATATATTTTATATACATTTTTAAGACTATAAAGGCCTAAAATATAGGAATGCATTAGTCTCGCATTCAAATAAATTAATAAAATTGAACAAAATTGAGATTTTATTTAAAATAATAATAGATTTTCATATTACATTCTTGCTTTGTTAACAATAGGACATCCGGTAACTTTCATTCGATAACTGAATGATGTTTGTAGCCTTTGCCGGTCGAGAAGTTCGAGTAATCGTACGGGTGTGACGTCATTTCGGTTCGGTTTCGAATACGACAGTTTGACGTTCGATTCGGTTATTGTGAATAAAAATGAAAAGAAATCGTACGACATCAAATCGAATCGGTCGACAACTGAGTTATCGTAGTAAGGTTCTGAGTCGACTCCCTGGTTAGAAAAAAACTTTAGGTTTATGGGACAACACAGGCTTCTTTTCGGCTCAAGCCGCAACATTAATAAGTCTGGTTACTCCACTAGTAGTCTCATATAAGGTTGGTTGTGTAGTGAAGTAGTTGGGATGTCATCTGGTTAGCGACGTATACTGAAACAGGAACAATTTTAGATAGTGTGTTTATTCGTTCATGGTGCAAATAGAAGGGAATCAATAATTAAATTACAATATAAAGAATCTTATGCCTACTCAACTGCCTCCGTGGCCGAACGGTTACCATGCCGGACTGCCACGCAGAGGTCCCAGGTTCGATTCCCGGGCCGGGAGAAATGTTTGTATGACCTACAATTATTTCTCTCGTGAGTTTGGGTGTAATTTGTGGTTGTCTATATGTGTGTCCATGGCACCCGCGACACAGGGTTTCCCTAGTGCGGGGCTATGTTGAGTGTGTGCGTTATTTATTTATTTATTTATTATTTATTTCCTTCAATATGCAACACATTACAACTCCCCCGAAAAAGACCATGGTTCACCACCGGTTTTCGAAGAAAAAAAATGATATGATATTAAAGGAGACATTGATTTACATTATACATATATAGGTATAGTAAGATAATTTGAAAAATAACTTGATTATGTAATTTCACCCGCACCCTTACCCTTCAAAACCGGAACGCAGTAATGCCGACATTACTGCTTGGCGGCAGAAATAGAAAAGGCGGCAGTACTTTCCTGGACGAACTCTTTCACAAGGAGCTCTACTGCTACTATATTCATTAGATTCATAATGCTACGTAATAACTTGACACTTAGTTACCAAAACTTCTTTGATAACTGTCAATGTTATGGCCACTTTGACATCTAGAATGTTTGTTCATTTAACATTTTATTTCCACTACGTATAACTAAACGTGAAGTTTTTTTCAGATAAAAAAAAAGAATAATCAAATCAGGAAATCTAAAATAACCCAACTTGACGATAACATTTATTTCCGTATGTACAGGCGACAGGACCCCGACGAACGAAGAGCAGGATCCCCAGCAGCACGACCCCGTCCGTCGCCTGTCGAACGACTCAGATTCGGGGCAGTCCCTGCACACGGCCCTCAGCCCTGCCAGCTCGCGCGGCACCCTCGTCTCGCAAGGCGGACACGTCTATCGCAACGCCAGACCGTATCGGAAGAACACAAAACCCAGGTTAGTACTTACATTTTGGCGGACGTGTTACTTATGGATCTCCCAAAGATGATGTGAAAATGTTTGAGAATAAATTGTTACGTATAGTCGGATTTTTAATAACAAGGACATTTATTCAAAAGCTAAAGAAAGTTCAAGAAAGTAAAGTATCGGAAATATAGTACAATGTAGTGTTAATGAACAGAAGAAGCATCAACATACTAACATATTCGCATAGGCAACATATAGGGGCATAGAGGTGGCTCATGCTAAAGGCAACAGATAGGGGCATAGAGATGGCTTGGAGGTGGCAAGAAAGTAAAGTATCAGAATTATAGTACAATGTAGTGTTAAGCAAAAGATAGACCAGGACGTTAAGAACAGAATAAGTGCAGGATGGATGAAATGGAGACAGGTCGCAGGCACTATTTGCGATCGGCAAATGCTAAAGGGGAAAATATACAAGACCGTGATTAGACCTGTCATGTTGTATGGATCAGAATGTTGGGCGATGAAACGGGAGGATGAACGAACTGTGCATGTAGCGGAAATACGAATGTTGAGATAGATGTGTGGAGTGACGAGAAAGGATAAGATAAGGAATGACTACATCAGGGGAAATTTGAAAGCGGCGCCAGTGACGGAAAAGATGAGGAGAAATAGGTTAGCATGGTATGGACATTGTCATGTGGAGAGAAGAATGTCATGTGACGAGAAGAGTGCTAGGTATGAATGTGGAGGGATATAAGGGGAAAGGAAGGCCAAAGAAAAGATGGATGGATTGTGTGAAAGATGATATGGATAAGACGTGTGAGTATAAAAATGGCTGCTGATAGGGTAGAGTGGAAGAAAAATACATGTTGTGCCGACCCCACCTAGCGTGGGATAAGTACAGGAAGAAGAAGTAGTGTTAAGGAAAAGAATATGCCTCAACATACTAACATATTCGCACAGGCAACAGATAGGGGCATAGAGGTGGGTCATGCTAAAGGCAAGAAACAGGGGCATAGAGGTGGCTGCTTACTGGGCCAAAGAATTATAAAACTGATTTTTTTATTGGTTTTTGTCATTGACATTGACTCGACAAGAAGAAGAAGAAGCAGAACATGTTCACAGTTGACATGATTAAATCATCTCATGCCTCGTTGAGACTACCAACACTGGTTCGAGTTTTTTTTATGATATCAAGTTACGAGACGAACAAGTCGTGGTAAACGACACGTCGGTCCGTAACAGTTGCAGTGCCACTCGAGCTTTGAATCGCAAAGATTTTAGGGTCACTGCCACTGCGCTAGTTTCACCTTGAGACAAGCTCTGCCGACGTTAATTGAAAGGGCCCATGTGACTTTTTGAAAAAAAAAATTATGTATACTGCGAGGTTATCTATCAGAATTCCGATTACATTTTCCAGAAATAACGTTTGCTCGAATTTTCATAACCTCGAAAGTAATTTTGAGAGGTAAATGTTTTTTCTTTCGAACTGAACCTAATCGTGTCTTTGCGATAAACATCCAACATATATCCTGAAAGAATAACTGTTTCGTTATAATTCGGTTTTCGGGGTAATAAAAATTCGAACAAACGTTATTTCGGACAAAAGAAAGTCGAGTTTGTGATAGGTTACCAATTTCTGAGTTTTTGGCACAAGCGCCCTTTCAACGAACGGCGGTAGAGTTGACAAATCCCATGTGCGTGTAATTCTGCCGCCCTTAGTTAAAATGTGACAAAAAGTCAAATCCGAGAAAATGTTAAAAAAAAAAAAAAAAATGTCTCACTGTCACGAAACGAAGAAAAAATTACATTTGCTGCAAACGCAATATAATAGGTTTACATTATATGGATAATTTAAAAATAAAATATTTAATTATTTATGCTCAATTACAATTAATAACCTTTTTCTTTTTCATCTTGGTAAAAAAATGTTCGTAAAATACTTAATATTAGGTAAGATGGGCGCAAGTACTTATGCTTTTTCAGCTTAGCATAATTACCACACTATTGTTAACTTTGGTGTAATAATAAGACGAACGGGCAGCATGTAGTTACAATTTCTTTTCAATGTGTCGTAACTTAACATTTTTTAAATTTTTATGACATTAAATAAGAGGTAACATTTTCACTTTATTTTCAATTTATAGTCTCATCTGGGAAATTAATATTTTTCGGTAAATACACATATGTACAGCTTTAACTGAAGAAGATAGAAACTTAAATGTGACTTGCGTCTTTTCATTTACTTAAATGATTGAAATGTGTAGTTAAAACAAAATTATGTATCCTGGGCAATTACACCTTTTTACCAATTTATTTTCTAAATGCGTCCAATTAACTTAGTTTGACTATAGAAGTGTGGGTACTTACGCCCTTTTCTCTTACGGTAACTTCATACCTAATCCATCTAGAAAAAAAATAAAATTGTGGCAGATTTGTCTTTTTTTTCTGATCACGGCGGTACATGTAACTCATTTTTAGAAAAAGTGTCGCATGCGCCCTTTCAACTTACGGCGGCACAATTTCACCAACACCCTTACCCTTCAAAACCGGAACCCAGTAATGCTCACATTACAGCTCGATGGCAGACATAGGTAAGGTGGCAGTGCTTCCCTGGACGAATTCTTTCACAAAGAGCTACTACGAATCGATCGAGCTTTGTATGAATAATAATAACGAAATATAAATTCATACTTTTTCTTGTGTTCATTTTAATTTATTTACTTTATTTTTGTTTCAGTTCTCAATGGTCTATCTAGATCACGGTTAGTACGCACAATTTAGAAAGCATTTATGTCATATTGTTTTCTTGCGCAAATATATGACAGTAAGCTTTGGGTAAACTTTTGCACAAGCATATAATTACGAATGTATTTGTATTATGAATTTCATTGATGTTCGGTATAAAGTTTTATTTAGATAAATGAAAGTATAAATAAAAATTGAAAAACAAAATGGCATTCAATTTTTGTACTTATTTAAAAGACTTTTATATTTGTATACGTTCCTGATAATTGTGTTATTTTTTCATTGCTTAAATTAATGTGATATTTACCAAAAGAAAATATTGGGTAGCTGGAAATATATTGTATATGGCGGGAACAAATGGTGAAATTAAAATACGAGTACACGAGCAGCTTACAAACAGCAATATTACTGCAAAATAGCAGTTGAACGTGATCCCAACTTTCATTATAATTTGTAAAGAATAAAAAAAATTAATTTATATAGGTTATAGAACGAAAGTTAACCATAATCACCGCCAAAGAAGGGCTTCAAAATGTATTACATTTTTGGTATACTGTACAAAGTTTAGATAGAGTACAAACAAAGCGTATGTGATCTTTATTCGTTATGATTTGTATTATTATAATTTATTTTAATGATTATTTTATTTTATAAGTACAAGTTTTGACATTGTATTTTAATTGAATGTATTAAAATGATTCTTTTATTTCATTTTTCTTACACATTGTCTTGATTCTTAATGTTCTTGAAATTTTTATTGGCGCTTTTACACAGTCTAAATTTCCACGTGATTTATTAAACTGGCACCCAACAAGGGACTTGAGAATTTATTGTAATACATTGACCAAGTTTTGTCGTGAAGTGTACAACTTATAAAAAATATAAGTGCCTCTGTGGCCGAACGGTTACCATGCTGGACTCCCACGCATAGGTCCCGGGTTCGATAATATTTATCCTGGCCAGTGTTGGGCAAAATTTAATTGTTCTGGCAATCAAAGATTCACAATTAATTAATTGTAAATTGCGAAACAGCAATTAACGATTGATGAATTGTTAGTTGCGAGAACCGCAATTAACAATTGATCAATCGTTAATCGCGTAACCCATATTCGTAATGACACTTTTATTCGGTACTTTCGGTTTTAATTGTTAGTTTCAATTGTTTCTTAGAACATTTAAAAAACATAATTGCAATTAATTTAATTGCAATTGAATTGATTTTTTAATCTGATTGAATTTCTGATTGAAATTTAATTGATTAACGCCCAACACTGATCCTGGCCCGGGGATTTATGCGGAGCTATGAGTGCGTGTCTCAAATGGGAAAAAAACAACTATAAATCCAAATAATCACACAACACTGAACTAAATACACAATTTCAGGCATAGTTTAATAAATTATTTATGATGCAATACATCAGACTGTTAACAGTATTTGCCAAGCTCGTATGACAGACTGACTGATGGGTAAATTAAGTTACTTTAAGCGAAATTCCCGGTACACACATAGTTAATATAATGCGATGTTTACTGTATCTATAGATATATTAGACGTGGGTTGCTTCGGCGATAAATTACGGCCCAATGTCACACCGTCATCGTTCTTTGTTAACTACGATTTTTTGTATGTTAAAATTGAACTAAATGCTAAAGTTACGTTTCTGCCCAAAATCGTGGGCAGAACCGAAGAGTACAGAATTCGCTATAATTCCAACACTAACAACATGATATACAATAACTTGTAACAAATTTCTATATTTTTATTACACGAAGAATACATAATACCCACCACCTGTCAATCCTGTGGATTCTCAATGTAGATCGATTCAAGTGCATACGATCTAACGATGTTTTGTATCAATTTATTGATGAAATTTCAGGTGAATCTATTCAATAGAAAGGTAAATCGAACTGTCCTCATAATAAAGCAACAAATATTTTGTAATAATATGTATAATTAAACTTGAACAAAACTCAACTCACAACAAATATCTAGACGTAAATAGTTTTTGCCTTCGATTTCGGGTATTAACCCGATTTAAACCCGGCGTTGACAAAGCGCCGGGTTAAAAACCAGGCGCTTGCCCATCTCTGGCCGTAGCCCAACAACAACAGTTGGGTCGTAACCCAACGCTACTGCAAAGCGAGCTACTGCAAAGATCTGTCGTCGTGTTTTTATCGTGACGTTTTTTATCGTCCGAAGACTGTCGTTCTAGCTGTTCCCACTGTGACGACAGTTTGTCGTTGTAACGATAAAAAATCGTGAACAGTTAATCGTGTCGTGCTATATATGAACAACTTCATTTAAATATACAAGCCACGATACTGTAAACTGCACGACAATCTGTCGTCACGACATGGTGGGAACGCGCCCTTAGCTGAAATTAGAATTGCTTCTGATCTAGGTGTTCTGAGCAGTGCCCTGGAGTAAATTCCGTTACTCTGGCATTTAAACAAAAGCAATTCCCTATTTAAAAAAAATTAAGACCTAAGAAGAAGTATTTGTTGTTTGGGCGTCTGGTACATTATTATTACATTTATGCTACCATAAATTCAAAACACCAATTAAAGGCCATTATAACGCGTCACCATAAATCTGAATTATAGAAGCCGATAATAAATCCATCGAGTGTTCGTAGTGATTTAAATGGGCCCCTTGTTGGGCGCCAATTTTGCTTTGCGGCGGCGCGAGGAGGCGGATGGGGAGAGACCTTGAAATGGGGTTAGGATGGAGCGGACCGCCAGTTGCGCCGCAGCGCTTGTCGCGATCACAAGTGTGCGCGCCCGCGAACACCGAACATTTAATACACACACATGAAAGGACGCTGTTCGTGAGTGGTCACGGTTACATAATTATTGTTTTTTGTATTGCTTGGTGGTCAGTTGCCACAGTTCAATGGGGAGGCAATCAGTCGTAATGGACAATGGAAATTCTACGCATGCTTTGTCGCATTCAATGTGCAATTTGTGCATTTCGATATAACCTCTCAGCGCCGGGCTTAGCATAGCTTTTGAATATCATGAGACCTTACTTTTAAGTTATGCATCTATTAAATAAAACGAAGTCAACATTAGACCATTTTTTTTTACTAAAGGGCATTAGGGCTATAGTAAATTTAGTTTTTATCGTTTATCGATAATTGTTCTTCATGAATATATCCAATAATTATGTAATTAAGCACTTTTAAGAATAATGTTACTTTTTTCTTTCACGTCCAATTAACATAAACTATAACTTAATTACGGCTTAACGCATATCTGCCGGCAGTAATCTGCCAAGCGGCACGATTTCACGGAACGGCTCTGTTTTAAAATCTAATAAATATATACGTTCAATATTTATAACTAATTTGGACACAAATCCAGGTGGACCCAGTTCGAATTTGCCCTAAAGCGGCTAGACCTTTTTGTTTTCCTCTGTTTTAGTATTCACATTGCCCGACGGGTTACGGTTACGTGACAACAGCGCAGAGATTTGAAAGTATACACAATATATGAACTTGTAATAACTACCCAGTGTCACCTTTTTCAAGGTGCCTTATAATAATGTCTGCTGAGTTTATTATTTACGATCCAAAAAATATTTTACTAATGGCAGTATTGCATGATCATTTTCTATGGATCCATTAGATAGGGCTTGAATTGATAAAACTAAAATGGAAAAAGTCTGACAAATATTTTTAACGACGCCATGAATTTGAGGCGTACACCTTTAATATTGAAACACCCCTAAGTGCAATTTTTGTCACACGTTTAAACAAAAAGCATTTTTTTTTCAAGTTTGAGTAAAATGACAGTGCAATATACAAAAGGGTTCCCAGCTTACAAGGCAGCTATAGATTGCAGTCGAATAATATTTTTTATCGACTACCAGCTGAATATTAGTTATACTTACACAAAAGATGGCCGAATTTGTTTAATTTGAATATAAATTAAGAATCATAAAATGTAAAAAAAAACTAATAAAAATAGACGACATTTTGGAAAAATTTGATCGTGAATGTACTTCACGAAAACGATGTCGGTACCAGTGAGCCAACTGTCAAAATAAGAAGAAAGAAGGGAATAATGTAACGATTAAGTGTTAGAACGTCATAACATTCATATATTCAAGCGTTTCTGAAAAATTTTATGACTATTTATTATATACATGACTATTTAAAATTTTATAAAAACTGGCAACCCTGCAAATGTCAGTTTATTAACATGGAAAATATGCTTTTAGACCTTAATAATCTACTTGATGAGGACAAAAAAATAGTGAATTTTCTTTAGATTCCGTTGAAATTAAAGTTTTTTTTTTTAACTTTTTATATTTTACGTATACTGCATACATTTTACTATAGTAAATGATGGTGGAAAGTACTGTCAAAGCGAGATAATTTAGAGAGAACAAAATGGCGTTTCCTACATCAGCAGCAACTATGTTTCCCGTTTACAACGACCATGTTACATAACAAAGTAAGTATATTTTTGCAAACTATCCGCACATGGCGAGAGACAGCCCTACTTATGTATTTTTCCGGCTCAGTGTTGCCATTTAAAACATATTTTACTATAATCGTATTTTTGGAGATAATAAACTGACCTTTAATTGGTTGCCAGTTTTGATGTACTAGAAATAGTGTCTTCACTCAGCTGGTCATCAAGGTATAATATATATTTTTAAAATATTTTATCGCAGTTCGACCGCAGAGACAGCTGGGAATTACAGACGTGAGTTGGGGGACTTCGATAGGGATATTTTTATTTCCTTATTAAAAGTAATGTCTAGAATTATAAAATTAAATGTTCTAAATACAGCTACAAGCTGGACGTCTATTCGACACCAACAAAAGGACTAAATACAGTCGGTTGTACTTACCGTATGCAATACGTCCGGTAGCAGTCTTTTAAGTTTTACAAAGTAGTGCTTAATATGGCAGCACTGCCATAATCTCGAATTCAGATGGGTTTCTAAGCGAGAAGTGAACCTGATTCCTACTATATCTGTCTAATTTGTGAGTTAAACCAATTATTGTTCCAATTAGAAATGTCAAAAGTTTCCGATCGGCTATTGTAAATCGCAATAATGCGCCTCGGCTCGGAAAAGACGCAGTTTCCGATCGGGAGGCAATCAAAATCAAGCTGCGCGTCCTCGTCTTATACGGTTAAACCATGATTGTTTAAATACTTGATATACATGTAAAAGATACAACGTCGTACCCCTAAACGGTAACCTATCAGGTCTAATGAAGAACTAATGTCGAGTTCTTAGGTTTTCGCGATTGTTACACATAGGAAATGAAACTATTTTTCCGGATTTAAATCGCGTGTATTTGTTTTTTTCAAACAAACCGACGTTTCGGGCCCTTTACAGGTCCCATGGTCACCGTTGACTGAGGTGGTACAGTCTTCAACCAGTTATGTCTAATATTGATGCAAACCACCCTATTTTTTCACTATAGTTACGATAGTTATTAATTAAATACCTTATTTTTAATTTTACAAAGAAAACATTCCAATTTACGCTATATTAAGTTTTACAAATTATTTTATTGAATGAATTTTTATTAAGTTCAATTTATTTTTATTATGTTTTGTATGTGTGTGGTTTTATTTTGTATGTGGCGTATTTTATCAAGTCCCGTTATTTCGAACATCCATCGAAGTGTCTTCATTCATGCACGGACAGTCCTTTATGAATTTGTGAGAACACATCCACGACAGTTGCGCCTTTCAATAGAGAAATACCGCGGTGACCCGTGCGAGATTTTTAAGGGGTAAAAAACCTTGACCTAATTTGTTCATGTTACAATCTTGCTCTGAAAATTTTGCATTCTTATTCTTCTTCTATGACCCCAGCAGAAATATACTAGTTTTACCGAATTCCATGTTACAATATACAACTACAATCACATAAAGGCAATGACAACAAAAATGCTTAGATTACCGCTGGGGTTTGCCACAATCAATAATCATTTATTCCTGTAATTTTTCTACACTTGAAAGCGTCATTTTTTAAGCTAGAGCAAAAAGCTAGGGATAGCTCTTTTCAAATAAAATTAAATGCTATGGAATAGATAGGTACACTTTGATTTAATGGAATCTAGACCATGTCGTCTTTCCATTCATCTTTAAAATTCTTTCTAAAATAATTACAAAAGTGTTTAATTAAATTTAAAAGGCGTCACTTACGTCATTCCAATGACATTGCCAAAAATAACGCAGAGGTCAAAACAGGGAATATAAATATTATATTTGTAATATCCATTGACGGGACGAACAAGCCGCGCGCTTGGTGGTAAGCGACACGCCTACCCACAGCAGTTGCAGCGCCACTCTGAGCTTTAAATCGCAAAGGTCTGAGGGGTATTGCCACTGTGCCCGTCCCCTGAGACATAAGTTGACAAGTCCCATGTGCTTGTAATTTCACCAACACCTTTCAAAGCTCACATTACTGCTTGGCAGTAAATAAATAAATAAATAAATAAATAACGCACACACTCAACATAGCCCCGCACTAGGGAAAACCCTGTGTCGCGGGTGCCATGGACACACACATAGACAACCACAAATTACACCCAAACTCACGAGAGAAATAATTGTAGGCCATACAACTATTTCTCCCGGCCCGGGAATCGAACCTGGGACCTCTGCGTGGCAGTCCGGCATGGTAACCGTTCGGCCACGGAGGCAGTTAAAAATAGGTAGAAATAGGTAAGGAAGTACTGCCAAGTACTTCCCTGGACGAACTCTCACAAGGAGCTCTACCGCTACTAAAGTTAGTTAGTTAGCTGTAGTAAAGCTATAACACGTCATAATTCTGACATTTCAGTGAGGAGATTTAACCAGTCTTTGTGTATTAGGTACCTTCTTTGAAATTTAGGTTAATATACTCTGACGGCTTATATTAATTTGAAACCTTGTTTCATATATTTCTCGTATGAAGTATGATATCCATCCATCCACGAAGGTCTTCCAAATTTTCCCAACGTCGCTTTTCCCTTCGCTGTCTTTCACAATATTTAACGTGTTGAGAATGTAGGCAGCTACAGGTTGTTTGTTCATCATAGTCTGAATGTAATCAGTATCAAGTTTCAACCTTGAAGGCAGCTCTAAGGCGATCGTGTTAGGTATGTAATTTCATGGATAAGCGGGACAGGTTCGTGATTATTTTTATAATATTGTATAGCTGAAGTTTATGGGCATACAGCACCGTGGGGAAACAATAAATAAGGTGACTATTCCGAAATTTGAATATTCCATACAAAAACTGACATTTGCTAGAAATTTAGAAACAAAATAAAATTTCTTTCTCACGCGGCAGCAGAAACGGGCTCGGGCAACAAAATTGTTGTCTCAAACCGAGTTTTACTACAGACTTACGCTTTTTACTTTTTATTCTGAAAATTTTTACCCAAAACCGAAAAATCCGTACAAATTGTAATCCTATATAAATAAACAATATTTAAATAAGTGCAAGAAATGACGTACTTATGTGGATTGATGACGCAACACACGCGTTTTATTTATTTTACTAATTTCTTTCTTATCGAGTTCTTAGGTTTTCGCGATTGTTACACATAGGAAATGAAACTATTTTTCCGGATTTAAGTCGCGTATATTTGTTTTTTCAAACAAACCCACATTTAGGGCCCTTTACAGGTCCCATGGTCACGGTAGACAGTCAACCGTGACCGTGGGACAAATAAACGCGATTTAAATCCGGAAAAGTAGTTCCATTTCCTAATTTCTTTCTTTGTTCTCATTTTAATTTCTGTTGCACTTTCGTTATTATTTTATATAACTGTGGGATAAACGTTTTATATGTAGAGGTATATGCTTAGGG